TTTATGATGTTCTCAGGCAACTGAATGTGCTGCACCAGGCCGCCTCATGTTTCAGTCGCTACGATATTTGAAATATCGCGATACATGTATATTTGTAATGTACTACTCATAAGGTTGCTGAAAATCCATCGACAGCCCACGACCGGTTTCGCCCTTCTTGGGGCTCATGGATTTTCAGCAGCCTTATGAGTAGTACATTACAAATATACATGTATCGCGATATTTCAAATATCGTAGCGACTGAAACATGAGGCGGCCTGGTGCAGCACATTCAGTTGCCTGAGAACATCATAAACGAAGGATTTAGCTGGGTTCCAGGTGAGTCGAAAGAAAGAACCAAATCAGTTTGCAGATGGGTGTATATTCGCTAATGTATGCTTCTCAACGAGGGTGGAGCAACCGTCGGATGTTTTATGGCTCTTTAATAAAGGCCGACTCAGACTGCGCCATGGAATTCAGCTTTAGAACTTGATCACTTACAAACTACTGATCGATAGGTACGTTTGTTAATTAACATGAGAACAACTTTATTAAAGGGTACATTCATGGAATCCAACACTTGTATAAACTTGTGGGTAAAAAATCTGACACCCATAGATGCAGGATATGAAAAGCAATGCACTCTTACACGAGAGATTTGTTGGACTTTCAGGATCTACTTACTCTATGAAGCAGACCGAAAGCCCTAATGCTATCCAACAAAACTTATATGTCCACGCTTCTTGAAAAATAATCAGTCAGATCAAGGGGTGAACTGATTCGACGGGATGAAGCGGTCAACCATACATGAGCAAGTGGTAAAATAATGAGTACAGGTACAAATTGTTGAGCAACGCACCGACTCATATGAAACAATTGTAAGTGAGACAGAATAACAGTATATTTACAATATTTTATTCCAAGACAAACAGGAATAAAGTGTTGTAATAAAAGGCAACGAGTAAAGTAAAACCCCACACAAATGGTGGGTCACAGAAGTCCTTGACGTTTCAAATCCTCATACGTCTTGCGCGATACCACATTGCCCGAATTATCTTCCAGCTCCTCCTCAACATCTGGTCGCCAGCGTTCGGATTCCTTCATAGTGCGAATTCGCTGCCACAGGGCAAGTGCGTCCTCGATTTTAGTCACATGAGCAAAGTGGATGGTGTTCGGGATACCAAGACAACGCATGCCGTGAGCATGACGCCATTCAGAAAAATGTTGTTGAAAAGCCTTGGGTCCGCGATAGGTAACATTTCCACATATCTCACAGCTGTAGTACATGTTGAGTCCGTGAAGCTTGTATAACCAGTATGGAATAGGCTGTGCGGAGTAAAGGGAAAATAGTTTGTATGAGGCATGCAGTGCAACTGTTTCGAATCTGGAGATAGAACAGATACAGAAAACAGTAAAAAAAATTGTTGGTAGCACTATCAAAACAAAAAGAATACTCCTACACTTCTCCAAAAAACATTCGAAATCGACAAGTATTCGTTGAAGAGGTATTCCCAAAAACCTGTTCGGCTAAAAGCTCTGAAACAGTCACGTGTCGCTGTATGACTCCTGACTATCCTGTTGTTAACATTAACACTAAAAGACAAGTCACCCAGTGGATGGTTGAGCTCTGTCCAATTTACATTGTCCTCGAATTAGTCGTGATAATATCTCCCATAACAATTTATATAACACCACGAATCTTCAAGAGTCTCCACAGAAACCTACAAAAATGAAAAAAGTCCCAGATGAAGTCCGACGGGTATCAAGTGACATGAAACCCATAGAGTCGCAGACCTCCCAGCGCATCTTAATACATATGTAGAATACTATTGGGTTTCCGTCGAGATTTAAAGAGTCATCTCAGTCCATCTTTGCGATTTTATCAAAATACTCTACGAATGATACAAGGGTGTCTTGCCACGAAAAAGAGGAAATGCCGGTTTTTTTGAGTCATCATGTCGAACCTGTGTATGCTCCCAGGATTCCTTGTATTCTCGAAACTTTTACAGCTATGGGTACTGTGTTAGAACATCAGTAGTGGTGATCCTCTTCCCAATGATACGCAAAAGTACTATTCGCATTCTTCATGACACGTTTCGGTTGGTACTTGAGGTTGTTACGTTTCGGTCACGCAGCAAGCAAACAATATGATATGCGGATTGTGGCAATACTCTATCCCCAACTATGTTGCTTGATCCAGACTCCTAGCACGGCGGATAGTAAGAAGACGAAAAACCTCGGACACGAACTTTAATGATCCAACAACACGCGATCAACAGGTGATCATGGGAGAAAATGA